TTTTTTTTTTTTTTTTTAAGTTTTTGCCAAATTGATTAAGGACATTTTACTAAGTTTTATTTCCTTGTTTACTGATAAGATTAAACATTTTTAAGACTTATTTTCTATCTGTATTTTATAGAAAGGCCATTTTAAAAGTCTTTTCTTAGGGCCATCATAGATTTGTGCATACCTTTGTGTGCACAAAACTCCACTTCGCCTAGCCTAAGCTCAAAGAGGAATGAGATATGAATGCTGGGATGCCTTATGGGCCTCGTTTCAGTTCAAGGAAGTGACAGATTGGGGTATAGAATCTTAGTCCTCATTCCAAATCACAGAGAAAGGACCCTGGTACCCTTGAGTCAGATGTTCATACCTGAGCCAATCAGTGTGACCTGTGAACAAAGCAATGTATACCTACGGCTGCTCTTGAAAACAGCCACCTGGAGGAAGAGGTTAGGGGAGCGGGGAGAGTAGGCCAATCCTAGAAAACAGGAGGAGCACAGTTCACAGGAAAACATAGGCTGAAAAGAAAAACAGAATGTGCTCACCACGTCTCCAGAACTGATGTTTATTTTTTCTTAATGTAGAATGCCGCGTATGTCCCTGACAGGAGAGGAGGTCACCAGTGAGCCTTCGTGGATTGGCTCTTCCTAACAATAGTTCCTTTCATTCTTTGGTCCTTGTCAAAGCAGTGAGTTTGGACCTTCTAGGTGTGGAGGTCTTACAGGAAATGCCAAGATGAAGGGGACTCCAGAAAGGCATGTGATTGAAAAGTGACAACTGCTTATTCTCTGAAGCAGTTCTTTAAGTTCCTTCTACACTCTTCTTACATACTTTAGCTACTTCCAGTGAAGCACCAAAAAATATTTGCTCACTGGAAAAGCTGGATAAAAGGTCATTTTACTGTCTCATAGGCAACCACTAACATTTTTTAAAGTCGGGGTTGGGGAAGAGAGTCTCCATAATTTGAGATGTAGTTTTTTCCATACAGTAGTCTGGGAAATAATGTTTTAAGCCCTTCAAGGCCTGCATGGGCTCAAGTTGTGTGTTTACTGCATATTCATATTCTTTTGTTTTTGAGATGGAGTCTTGCTCTGTCACCCAGACTGGAATGCCGTGGTGTGATCTCGGCTCACTGCAACCTCCACCTCCCAGGTTCAAGCAATTCTCCTGCCTTAGCCTCCCGAGTAGCTGGGACTACAGGCACCCGCCACCATCCCTGGCTAATTTTTGTATTTTTAGTAGAGATGGAGTTTCACCGTGTTGGCCAGGCTGATCTCAAACTCCTGCCCTCAGGTGCTGGGATTATAGCCCACCATGCCTGGCCTGCATATTCATAGTCTCTTAAACCTCTTAAACTTTAACAAATGAGATTTTTTAAAAAAAGAAATATTGGCCTCATAGAAACATGCTCAAGAATTCTGAAAAAGTTCCATGAGTCCTATATGCAAATGGAATCAGATGAGAAGTTGAAGCTGGCATGCAGGGCCTCCTACTTGGTTCCCGAGCCCCTCTGCAGGAGCTGAGAAACCAGGGCTCACCCTGAGATCATCTCAGTCCTGCACTATGCTCCCCTTGACTCCTAGATGCGTGTTTTGGACAAGCTGATGGTTGAGAGACTCTCTGCAGAGAGGACAGAGTGCCTGAACCGCCTGCAACAGCACTCAGACACACAGAAGCATGAGGGGGAGAAACGACAGGTAGGAACCAGTATCTGCCAGTCCTTAACTTATGATTTACCACGCAGGCCCATTGAGCTCAGGCAGACCTGCCACTGAAAACTCAGAGGCTGAGACTCCCTGAGAGCTTTTGCATTATATAGTGTATCATTTTTATAATCCTGAGATGAGGTTAGTAGAAAAGAACCTGTAGTTCTGTTTATGTCCATGGCAGAGTATGCTGGCAACAGATGAAGACTGAACATGCTGGGGAAGATGCCATTTCTGCCCCAAACTAACTCCATGTATTGTGCATTTGTTAGGCCATTACAGTTTTAGAACAAGACATAGTTTCTGCCCTCAGGGAGCTTACTGTCTCACCAAGATAACAGACATGGAATGAGTAGAGGTGATTGTGTGAGAACTCATGCTTCTAAGCAGCCAGAAGTACTTGATTTGGAAGATTTGGGTGTCTTTGGGTGGCTGAGTTTAAGGTGGCTCTAAGTCACTTAGTGAAGATTGTAGATAGCTCTCTGCTTGGGTGCCTGCTGTAGCCTATAAAAGAGTGGCTTCGGCTATGTTGCTATAAAGGAATACCTGAGGCTGGGTAATTTATAAAGAAGAGTTATTTCACTAATGGTTCTGCAGGCTGTACAAGAAGCATGGTGCCAGCATCTGCATCTGGTCAGGGCCTCAGGAACCTTTTACTCATGGTAGGGTGAAGGGGAGCTGGTGTGCACAGATCACCTAGTGAGATAAGAGGCAAGAGAGACAGGAGGGAGGTGCCAACCAGCTCTTTCAAAAACTAATAAAGCAAGAACTCACTAACCGTGAGGATAATACCAAGCCAGTCATGAGGCATTCAGCCCCGTGACAAAACACTTCCCATAAGGCCCCACCTCCAACATTGGGGATCAGATTTCAATGAGATTTGGAGGGGTCAGATATCCAAACTATAGCAGTGGGCAAGCCATAACTTCTTGGGTTTGTTAGATGATATTCTCAACTGTTAGAATTGAAAAGTCCATCCTTGAGGCTTTAATTCATAAACCATGTATCAAATTCATTCATTCATTCGTTCATTCATTTATTTATTTATTTTAAGATATCCTTGGTGGATGAATTAAAAACCTGGTGCATGTTAAAGATTCAGAATCTGGAGATGAAGCTTTCTGGAGATTCTAGGGCCTCCAGAGCTAAATCCACACCATCAACTTGCGAGTCCTCTACAGGTAACCCACATACAGAGAGCCCTTTTGTCCAAAAGGAATACAACCAGCAGCTCTTGTTCTCTCCAGCATTGAAAGGCAGTCCGGGCCGGGTACAGTGGCTCACGCCTGTAATCCCAGCATTTGGGGAGGCCAAGGTGGGCAGATCACCTGAGGTTGGGTGTTTGAGACCAGCTTGACCAACATGGAGAAAACTTGTCTCTACTAAAAATACAAAATTAGCTGGGCCTGGTGGCACATGCCTGTCATCACAGCTACTTGGGAGGCTGAGGCAGGAGAATTGCTTGAACCCGGAGGTGGAGGTGGCAATGAGCAGAGATCACGCCATTGCACTCCAGCCTGGGCAACAAGAGCAAAATTCCGTCTCAAAAAAATAAATAAATAAAAGGCAGTCCTTATGATAGGACTGTGGGAAACACTGGATGGTAGGGTGCACTCTGTAGGGGCAAGGACTATATTTTACTCATAATCATATACTCAGTTGCTATATAGTAATAAAGCATTCTCATTTATGTTCTCAAGCTTATTTGAGTAAAGGAATTAGAAAATTGTTGATTGGTGTTAACATTGCTTTAAGTACAATATTGATAAGGGGTGATGAAGATCTATTGGCCTCCTCAGCAGGGCTCTTCCTCCCTTGCCTTCTGCCTTATACCCCTTTCTTCTCTTTGATCTGCCTTTTACTTTTGTCCACCTATGCAAATCCTCATTAAATAGCAAGTTCTTTCTTTTTTTATTGCATTTTAGGTTTTGGGGTACATGTGAAGAACATGCAAGATTGTTGCATAGGTACACACATGGCAGCGTGATTTGCTGCCTTCCTCCCCTTCACCTATATCTGGCATTTCTCCCCATGGTATCTCTCCCCAACTCCCCACCCCTTGCTGTCCCTCCCCTATTTCCCCCCAGTAGACCCCAGTGTGTGATGCTCCCCTCCCTGTGTTCTCATTGTTCAACACCCACCTTTGAGTAAGAACATGCAGTGTTTGATTTTCTGTTCTTGTGTCAGTTTGCTGAGAATGATAGTTTCCAGGTTCATCCATGTCCCTACAAAGGACACAAACTCATTTTTGATGGCTGCATAATATTCCATGGTGTATATGTGCCACATTTTCCCTGTCCAGTCTATCATCGATGGGCATTTGGGTTGGTTCCAGGTCTTTGCTATTGTAAACTGTGCTGCAATGAACATTCTTGTGCATGTGTCCTTATAGCAGAATGATTTATAATCCTTTGGATATATACCCAGTAATGGGATTGCTGGTCAAATGGAATTGCTATTTCTAGGTCCTTGAGAAACGGCCACACTGTCTTCCACAATGGTTGAACTAATTTACACTCCCACCAACAGTGTAAAAGTGTTCCTATTTCTCCACATCCTCTCCAGCATCTGTTGTCTCCAGATTTTTTAATGATCGCCATTGTAACTGGCATGAGATGGTATCTCGATGTAGTTTTGGTTTGCATTTCTCTAATGACTAGTGATGATGAGCATTTTTTCATATGTTTGTTGGCCTCATGTATGCCTTCTTTTGTAAAGTGTCTGTTCAGCCGGGCGCGGTGGCTCAAGCCTGTAATCCCAGCACTTTGGGAGGCCGAGGCGGGTGGATCACGAGGTGAACAGATCGAGACCATTCTGGTCAACATGGTGAAACCCCGTCTCTACCAAAAATACAAAACATTAGCTGGGCATGGTGGTGCGTGCCTGTAATCCCAGCTACTCAGGAGGCTGAGGCAGGAGAATTGCCTGAACCCAGGAGGCGGAGGTTGCGGTGAGCCGAGATCGTGCCATTGCACTCCAGCCTGGGTAACAAGAGCGAAACTCCGTCAAAAAAAAAAAAAAAAAAAAAAAAAGTGTCTGTTCATATCCTTCACCCACTTTTGAATGGGCTTGTTTGTTTTTTTCTTGTAAATCTTGAACAGCAAGTTCTTACATCGAACTTGCCCCCGGTGCTGGACAGGAAGTGCTGCAAGCACAACATCTTGACATTAGCCACAGTGGTCATACTCAGTGGTAATTTTGAGGACATTCAGAGCCTGGGTAACTAGGCCTCAATGGGAGATTTTGATATAAGTGTTTTATGTTATCACAGGCCATCTCTGGAACTGTGGTTTCATCTTTGTGCCAACAACATGGGGAAACATCCCCGGAAAATGTTTCAAGCTAGGACTACCCTTGGAGCTTGTCATGGCGCTCTGGGTGTGGAAAATGGGGCCTCCTTTCCAAATTGGAGCTTGGGTCAAGCAATTAGTTACAGAATAGGCCCAGAATTAGAGAATGGGAATACATATTCTCATAGATAAATGTCCAAATCTGCTTTGAGACACTTGGTGAGCTGCGTCATCCTTAGGCATCAGGAAACAGGACCTAGAACCTCCTCGGGTAGATTGAGACAGGATAAAGGAAAAGCCAGCAACTTTTTTTGCTTAAATGATACCAGTGTGGCTAACACAGAATCCATGAAAGCCCTGACAAGCCAAAATGATCATCAGAGGAGACAAAGTGGAAGGGAGGAACAGAAAAGTGCGAAAAAGCTCACAGGAGACGTTACGCATGGTGGGTGGTGATGGCAAAGGCTGGTGATCTACAGGATCCTTAGGACTCTCAAATACTGACCCACAGCCACATGACTATGTGAATGTGGATTTGCTCTCACGTTTGTTTTCCTTCTGAAACCAGGTGTGGATCAGTCAGTGGTGACTGCAGGTCCAGCAGCAACTTCTGACAGCTCCCCTCCAGTGGTTAGGCCCAAGGAAAAGGCCCTCAACTCCACTGCTGCCCAGAGACTCCAGCAGGAGCTGTCGTCTTCTGACTGCACAGGCTCCCGATTGAGGAATGTCAAGGTCCAGACAGCCTTGCTACCCCTGAATGAGGCAGGCAGATCTGATCAGCAGGCTGGGCCCTGCGTCAACAGAGGCACTCAAACTAAGAAGTCTGGGAAGAGTGGGCTGACAAGGCATCGCACCCAGCAACCTGCAGCCAGCAGCACCTGTGGGCAGCTGCCACCAGCGGGAGGCGAGCAGACTGGCCCTCACATTCGGGACACCTCCCAAGCTCTGGAGCTTACCCAGTATTTTTTTGAGGCTGTTTCTACCCAGATGGAAAAGTGGTATGAAAGGAAGATTGAAGAAGCACGAAGCCAAGCAAATCAGAAAGCCCAGCAAGACAAGGCTACTTTGAAGGAACACATTAAAAGTTTAGAAGAGGAACTTGCTAAACTAAGGACTAGGGTGCAGAAGGAAAATTAGTACCAATAAAGTGGAAACAAGAAAGGATTCTTGAAGATTTCCAGTTTTGCAACTGCTTAGTAGTTATGCCCAAGGCGTCAACTATTGTATATATTGCAGATTTGCCTTTTTAAAAAAATCACTAATTTCTACAGTGTGCCAGATACATGTTTCCTATGCCCGGAAGTTATGAAGGCCTCAACAATTAAACTGAAACCAGGGGAAGCTTGCTTAGTTTTGGGTTTAAGCCTCAGTCCAGGTTCATCTGAAGTTTGAAAGCTCAGATTAAGCAAGCCATGCCAAGAAACCAAATGATGTGTAAGCCTAGACTCTAAAATTCAAGATGTGTGAAATAATATAAGTCAAAAGCAAGAAAAACTTAATCCCATCTGAACTCCAGTAGTCATTCATATAAATTTGAACACACCTGCTGTGCCTAGACAAGTGTCTTTCTCTAAGAGAGCTGTAACTCTGAGATGTGCTAAGTAAACCCTCCTTCTCAAATTCATAATTCTCAAAATGTTGACTATTAACCACATGAAAAGTTACCAGATTTTTGAGGAGAAATGTTTTCATGATGTCACAAGATCTAATATATCTTATGATAAAATTTATTGAAAAGTCAGTTAATTTAGATAATGAATAATTAGCTAACAGCTCCGAAAACAATGAGATCAAACAAGAAAGATTCAAATTGATCATTTCTGTATTTTCAGTCAAAAAACCAATTATAGTGATTTTAAAGCAAATTAATGGAAGAAACATTCACGTAACAATTACCTGAAAATTTGTAACCTATTCCTAATCAAACCCGATTATATCAGAGTACCTTTCTGAATTTGAGATTATTGCTCTACATTTTATAAAGAATAAAGCTATTTTTTTGAAAGTATTTCATTTTGAATTAAACTGTCGTTAAAGAACCTCAGAACCTTTCTACTGCTTTGCGGTGACTATGTCAAGGCAACATACTCCATAACAACTTAGGCCTCACTGTTCCCCAGCTTCATGGAGGCCTGAAGACTTGATTTTGCTTCCTAATGAAATATAAGCGCAGAAACAAAGTTGTAAAAGTAGCTTGGATATGTTGAAACTTTGGACCACTTCTTGTCCTTTGGAATGTGGGATTTATATTCATCTCCTCAATATCCCATGTATGCATAGAAACTTCAGTTCTATTTCTATAAACACAGGAACCTAGTGACTATGGAACGTAATTGTGAATAAAATGCTGCTCATTGAGCCAAAGAGAAAAAATGACTTACTGACATGGAGACACCAAGAAAAACAAAGTATTCTTTTATTTCCTTTGTCAAGCTCACAGTTTTGGGGATTTTTCAGTAGTGACAATCCATAGATATAGACATTCCTAAAAGAAAAAAAAAAAGTAATTCAGTAGATATGTCACTGTTATAGAACCAATATGGAATAAATTTGATGTTTTTGTTTGATTTTGTTGAGACAGGGCCTTGCTCTGTCGCCCGGACTGGAGTGCAGTGGCATGATCACAGCTCACTGCAACCTTGGCCTCCCAGGCTCAAGCGATCCTCCTGCCTCAACCTCCCAAGTAGCTGGAACTACAGGCGTGCACCACCATTCCCGGCTAATTTTTTGTAGATATGGGGTCTCACTATATTGCCGAGGCTGAATTTGATGTTATTTCAAGCTGATTTTCATGTGCTTTTGAGCTTGTCTTATTTCTCAACCACTATGCAGGTAGACAGTCTTCCCCCAGAGACTCACTAGATTGCAGTATAGAGGCACTTCCTCATTTCCCAGTTGTTCCTAATACAGAATTGTAGAGCTGGAGAGTACCTTCAGTTTTCTAAATCTGTTCCTAAACAGGATATCACTAACCTCTTTAGAATTATTCCTCAATATACATCAGTTTATTGAGAACTGCCTAATACTCAAAGAAATGAAATCCTGAGTTCAGTAAGCTGTGTTCCAAGCAGGAATTATTTTCACTTACAAAAATATCTCCTATTACCTCAAGGTATCCTTGTTGAGAAATGCCGAAAACTAAATTAAGTATCAAGTCTAGACCATAGAGTGCTTTGGTGGGAGTATTTTGATTATATACCTCCTACCCATCAGAAGCAGGCAGCTAATATTGTGAACTGAGTATTTTTGTCAAAAGTCACAGAGAAGAGACCAGAGAATGAGAAAGGTCAAATGGACCTAGTGTGGCTGACTACAAGATCTTTTCTCTTGGAAGTCTGTCATAGAATAGAAAACACACAGAGGTGAAGAAACAGAATAGGCTCAGTCAGCATCCTTACCCAGAGATGACGGTATCTCTATTAAGACCAATGCAATACCTTTTCATCTTCAACAAATGTTGTTTCATCTGTTTTTGATCCTTGGCATTGTCAAAAACTTAACTGCAGGTCCAGTGTATATTTTTCCTTATTTTTCCCTTTTAGCTATCTGCTAAAATGAGTAAATGCCACAACTGTACTTTTCCAAAGAAACAGAACTATTGACAATGTATAGCTTGTCATGCAGGTCATGGTTCAAACCGAGGCTGAAACTTTCAACAGCTGTGGAAAAAAAAAATAATGTGAAACACAGCAACATTGTACAATATTAGTGTTTTTTTTAAAGAAATTGTTAGTGCATTATTGTATTGAGTATACTAAATATGTGTAATAGAGTAAATATATTAGTTCTAATCTTACTTTTGATTTTGAGAGCCCAAAATAGTGTTGTTTTCATGGTTATACCTTGTGTGTGAAGTCAGGTGTTCATGAGGCATGTTATGTGTCTTCTAGTCAATATTTTTATCACCTCGAATTTGTGTCTCTTCCAAGCATTAAACTTTAAGATACTGTGGATCTTAAATTCCTTATTAAAAAAATGAAAGTGTGAATATGTTGTTTAGCTTATATTTTCATTTGTTGTGGTTGACCACATTTTATGGCTCCTGAGACCACCCAGCTACACTTTACCTTTTATCTATAAAAGTGTAATTCAGAGTAAATACATTGGCTATAAAGTCGAGATCAGGTGCTCGCCACCAAAAGCAAAACAAAACTGCTGAAATGTGGCAAGGTTTCTCAGTGCAAGCCTAAATGTTTGAACTGTTGACCATTTGGACATTACTGGACAAAGGGGAGGGACAAAACATCATCTGCAGTAGTTACTAACAGTAGTTGGTATATACTGCAGTAGTATACCAATGTTATACCTTTTGACTAAGTTAATTCTTAAATGCATTTCTTCTTGTGAAGTGTGGATAATAAAAGCCAGAGACAAAACCAGTTTGAAAAACTAACCTTTTAGGCCAGGCGCGGTGGCTCAAGCCTGTAATCCCAGCACTTTGGGAGGCCGAGGCGGGTGGATCACGAGGTCAAGAGATCGAGACCATCCTGGTCAACATGGTGAAACCCCATCTCTACTAAAAATACAAAAAATTAGCTGGGCATGGTGGCACGTGCCTGTAATCCCAGCTACTCAGGAGGCTGAGGCAGGAGAATTGCCTGAACCCAGGAGGCGGAGGTTGCGGTGATCCGAGATCGTGCCATTGCACTCCAGCCTGGGTAACATGAGTGAAACTCCGTCTCAAAAAAAAAAAAAAAAAGAAAAAAGAAAAACTAACCTTTCGTATTCTAGAATAACTTTTATGAGTAAGAGTAAAACAGATTTTTTTATTTGTAATTTTATTTAAGGAGAAACACTCTTCCCCTTTGGTATGACTACAATACTATAAACAGCAAGAAGTATGTTCTGCTTTCTGTAATTTTAGAAAGTCATTCCAGCCTGGGTGACAGAATGAGGTAAGACTGTCTCTCTTAATTAAAAAAAGAGCTTGGCTGGGTACAGTGGCTTATACCTGTAATCCCAGCACTTTGGGAGGCTGAGGCGGGCGGATCACAAGGTCAAGAGATCGAGACCATCCTGACCAACATGGTGAAACCCTTCTCTACTAAAAATACAAAAATTAGCTGGACGTGGTGGCATGCACCTGTAATCCCAGCTGCTTGGGAGGCTGAGGCAGGAGAATCGCTTGAACCCCAGAGGCAGAGGTTGCAGTGAGCCGAGATCACGCCACTGCATACTCTAGCCTGGTGACAGAGGAAGACTCCATATGAAAAAGAAAAAAAAAAAAAAAGTTCACACCTGTAATCCCAGCACTTTGGGCACCTAGGCAGGTGGATTGCTTGAGCCCAGCAGCTTGAGACTAGCCTGACAACAAAGTGAGATTCCCCTCCTCTACAAAAAAAATTTAAAAATTCACCAGACATGGTGGCACATGTCTGTGGTCCCAGCTACATGAAAATCTGAAGCAGGCGGATCGGTTGAGCCCGGGAGGTTGAGGCTGCAATGAGCCATGTTCAAGCCACCGCACTCCAACCTGTGTGACAGAGACCATGTCTCAAAAAAAAGTCATCTCTGTGTTCCTTGCAGGCACATCTATGGTAATGGTTGTACTATGAATTTAAAACTTTTAACTTGATGGCACATTTTTACTTTTTTTTTTTGAGATGGAGTCTCACTGTGGACTCCATCCAGGCTGGAGTGCAGTGGTGTGATCTTGGCTCACTGCAACCTCTGCCTGCCAGGTTCAAACTGAGGCAGCCTTCCTGAGTAGCTGGAATTACAGGCATGTGCCACCATGCCCAGCTAATTTTGTATTTTTAATAGAAATGACGTTTCACCATATTGGCCAGGCTGGTCTCAAACTCCTGACCTCAAGTGACCACCCACCTCGGCCTCCCAAAGTGCTGGGACTGCAGGCATGAGCCACCACGCGAGGCCCTGATGGCACGTTTTAAAAGGGGGGAATAACATGGGCAGTTAATGTTCATATAATAAATAGCTTTAGCTGCTTCTTATGCTACAAAGCTTCTGTATGTAAATTTTTAATATAAGGATCGATTTATTGTGGTTCAAATACATAAACTGACATTCAAACATCTTAAACTTTAGGAACATAAGTTTAACATTCAAACAGAAGTACAGGTTTCAGGAAACATCTAGAAAGTAATTTGTTGTCTAATCCAGAGTACCGATAAAGGTTGCTTCATGATGAATAAAGTGTGTTTCACCATTTTTTTTTTGTCTTTTCATTCCTCCATAAAAATCACTGGCAGTTCCATTCAGACCAACTTCATAATGACTGTGCCTCCAATACCTGAGAATAAATTGCTAAATAAATCCCCTTAGATTAACCAATAAGATTGGCCTGTAATTCAGAGGAGATAAGCAAAGCATGTAAGTGAACAAATTAAATTGTTCTTTAGAGATGAAGGTAAAAGCACATCCAGCAATTTTCGCCTCTGACAGATTATTCAGTTTTCAGTATTTTAGTTTTTTTGCGGGGGAGGGTCTTGCTTTGTTCCTAGGCTGAAGTGCAGTGGCATGTTCATGGCTCGCTGCAGCCTCAACCTCGGGCTAAATGCATTTCTTCTACCTCAGCCTCCTGAGTAGCTGGAATTACAGGCACATGCCATTTTGCCAGCTAATTTTTTAATGTTTCATAGAGGCAGGTTCCCACTATGTTGCTCAGGTTGTTCTCAAACTCCTGGAGTCAAGCGATCCTCCCACTTCAGCCTCCCAAAGTACCTCCCAAAGCAGGTAAGCCACCACGGCCAGACTTACCTGCTTTAAAACAAACAAAAAACCAGGTTTTCTTGGAATCTGTGCTATCTGCATCTTGCAAATGCAAACCACATACGCTCTTTAACGAAAACCTTTCCATGCACACCACTGTTAGGAAGAGCATCGTTAAATCACTAACTCCACACCCATAAAAGGATGATTTGAGTTTTAAGATTTTAGATGTACTACATAGCCTGTATTTGAGTATATCAATCATGTCACACAAAGAAAAATATTTCCAAAGTGTTCTCTGTTCAGAAGCATCACAAATGCTCCTCCTGCTTCTCAGATCATTTTGCAATGAGTTTACTAATAATACTTATCTACATAAAAACCTGAAAATTGGCTCAGGCACGCATTTTGAATTAGTAGATTACTCCCATAGAACAGTATTCAGAATTATTGTCTTGTGGGCTCTGAAGCTCAGGGAGGTAGTAGAGGTGGACCCTGACAGCCCAGGTCATCAATATCCACATTGAGATTATGCCTCTCCTCAGGCGCAGTCCAGTACTGGACACCATTTATCATTCTACAAAATGATGTCTGTATCTTTCAGGTGCTGGTCAGATTCTTAGAGTAACTTCTTAGCTCTGTTCTGTTGATGAACAGAAGACTTCAGTTTTCAGAACTGATAATTCTAGCGTCTTCCACAAGCTTTCACATCTTTCACTGAATTATAAATTTGATCTCCTTCAAAAGTGCCCCAAAGTCAACTTTGGTTGTAATGTATTTATCTCTGACGTATTCTTCAAATTCTCTTTTTTTCCTGTCATTTGAGAACTGCACCCAGAATTTTAATTTTTTTTAATTCTTCCATGTGGATGTTAAGGTACTCACAGAGGTTGCATCCAGAAGTCTTCCCTCTTCTTTCTGGTAAGTGCTTCAATGTGCTCATTAAGCTTCTCTTCCCTTTCCAACTGGGATCTAGATTCCCAGTGGTGATCTTTTTGACAAGTCCTCTATCAAACCATGACACATGTGAAGAGCCCTCAGGAATAATACAGGATTTTTTGAAAAAGTTCCAGGGTATCTCCTGATGTCAGTATACTCTCAGTCCTACACCTAAGAGTTGTTTTTTTATAACAGCTTTATTGAGATACAATTCATAGCTTATATTTAAAATGTACAATTCAGTGGATTTGAGTATATTCAGAGTTGTGCAACCTACACCACAAGCTAACTGTAGGATATTTTCATCACCCTGAAAAGAAACCCTACACCCATTAGCAGTTACTCCATTTTACCTACAGCCAGCCTAGGCAACCACTAATCTTTCCGCCTATTCTGGACGTTTCGTTTAAATGGAATCATGTGATCTTTCGTGACTGGCTTCTTTCACTTAACGTTTTCAAGGTTTATCCATGATTAGCATATATCAGTCCTTTGTTTCTTTTTACTGCCAAATAATGGTTATAGGCCTAGGGGTAGAATTGCTAAATCATACAGCAGCTCTGTTTCATCTTTTGAGGAACTGACAGTCTGTTTCCTGAAGTGGCTGCAACATTTTACATTCCCACCAGCAATGTATGAGGGTTCCAATTTCTGCACATCTTCAACACTTGTTATTATTTTTCTTTTTAATTACAGCCATTCTACTGAATTAAATGATAACTCATAGTTGTGTGTTTTCCTTTTTTTTTTTTTTGGAGATGGAATCTCACTCTGTCACCCAGGCTGGAGTGCAATGGCATGATCTCAGCTCACTGTAACCTCTGCTTCCTGGGTTCAAGTGATTCTCCTGCCTCAGCCTCCCGAGTAGCTGGGACTACAGGCATGCATCACCACGCCATGCTAATTTTTATACTTTTAGTAGAGATAAGGTTTCGCCATGTTGGCCAGGCTGGTCTCTAACTCCTGACCTCCAGTGATCCACCTACCTTGGCCTCGTAAAGTACTGGGATTGCAAGCGTGAGCTACTGCATCCCACCTCATAGTTTTGATTTACACTTCCCTAATGATTATGTCCAGCATCTTTTCATGTGCTAACTGGCCATTTGTTAGTGGTTTTTGCTTCTTTTAAAAACTGCGGAGACATCCATAAACATTTTCAAAATGCAGCAAATACTGTATATACAAATAGTAAGACTGGGCTTTGTGCTGTCCATCATTAATCCTAAATGCAACAAAACACATGGAGACTTTGAAAATCCTTCAGAATAATGCTATAGTTAAGATTTTGCTAAAGCAAGTGTTCTTTCTAATTCTTTGAGCTGCATATTGCCTTGAGTAATCATCATCCGGATTGTGTCCTGTAGAATAAAGTGAAATCTGGTTACTGTTTTACCTGGTTAAACAAGGTATAGCTATAACATTTTATTTGTTAAAATCAAGAGCCAATACTAGGTATTGGAACTGCTGCCTTTTAGGAAAGCCAAAGGAGTTCCACATATATAATACATAACATAAAAATCAAGTGATGATGTTGAAGAGTACAGATACAGCAATACTAAATTTTAAAATATTTAAAATCGGTAACATTACAAGCAATGATCAAGCTATGCCAGCTTGGTGGCATTATATTCCAAGATGTCTGCTAAACTTAAAAAAAAAATTCACTGAACAATTAAAAGAAATAGGGTCTGTCCTCACCATGATTTTGTTCTCACCTCTTCCGTGGCACTTTTGTTTCTTTTGAATTCTTCCCTTGCCCAATCCTTCAGGTATTTGCGATCAGAATCATTTGGAACTTGCCGAATTGTTTGCAAAATCCTTCTGTAGAGGAGAAGAACTTGTTGCCTTCTTATGAACTGCAAAAGAGAGGAGAAACAGCAATTACTACTGCACAATCGCCAGCCTGGAAGGTTCTATTTCAGCAAACAAGCTGTAACCAGACTCTTTCTCATTGGTGAATTTCGGAAAAAAGCAAAGACTTTTTTTTTTTTTTTTTTTTTAGAATAGTATATTTTTTTGCCAGGTGCAGTGGCTCAGGCCTGTAATCCCAGAACTTTAGGAGACCGAGATGGGAGGATCACCTGAGCCCAGGGAGGTGTAAGCTGCTGTAAGCCTTGATTGCTCCACTGCACTCAGCCTGGGCGAGTGAGGCCCTGTCTCAAAAACATGTTTTAAAGACAGCATCACGAGGTTCATCTGATCTTTTTGCTTACTCCTCTGTGAAACCTAAGAACAATTTAAAAATCGGCCAGGCGCGGTGGCTCATGCCTGTAATCCCAGCATTTTGGAAGGCCGAGGCAGGCGGATGACAAGGTCAGGAGTTTGAGACCAGCCTAACTAACATGGTGAAAGTCCGTCCCTACTAAAAATACAAAAATTAGCTAGATGTGGTGGCGCGCGCCTGCCTGTAATCCCAGCTACTCAGGAGGCTGAGGCAGGAGAATCGCTTGAACCCGGGAGGCGGAAGTTGCAGCGAGCCGAGATCTGGCCACTGCACTCCAGCCTGGGCGACGGAGTGAGACTCTGTCTCTACACACACACAAACACACACACACGCAAATCAGGAGCTGACTACCGGGCTGAAAAGGGCTGCCGGTCTCCTATATGTTGACGACAGCACTTTTTCTAAATTAACAGTTGTTCAAATCTTTGGTAATCTCATTTGCCGTTTGCCACAGCTCAGTGCAACTGACAGCTGCCCTGAGTAGCAGGGGCGCAGGTACTTGAGGAAATCAAGCACCTGGCGCACCTCACGCAACCACACCAAACCGGGTAAGCGGCTCTTGCCTCCCATAGGCCTCTGCGGCGCGAAACCCCGCCCCGCAGGCGTCGGGCTAATATCAGAGGGCGCGCGCCGCGTCAGGATCCCGGAACCCGCCCCGTTGGATGGAGGGTAGATGGAGAATCCAGACGCTGAGACCCAGGTAAGCTGCTCTGGAAGGCAGAGAACCTCACCTGCTTTAATGTTAGCGTCGCTGGGGGTAAGCGGGAAGCTGCCATGTCCGCTAGCGGTCAGCGGCCATGTCCGCCAGCGGTCCGCCGGAGCCTCAGCGCGCAGGAGCGGAAGTGGGGGGGGTTCCGACCAGGGGTGTGGCGAGCCTGGTTTCCTGGGAGACGGCCGGCGTATTTGTCACTGACTGAGAGCGCGAGGTCTTCGGACTGAGGCCCTAGGGTTTGGAGAAGGTTATGGGCTGCGCTGGCTGAAGTTTTCTCGTCGGTAAAATGGGATAGCAGGGCCTTATAGGGTCGTTGTGATAACGAAAGAAAGGTAGGGCACTTAGCACGGTTGTTGGCAAAGAGAGTTCATCAAATGAAAGTGAAGGAGGCCGGGCGCGGCGGTTCAGGTCTGCAATTCCAAGCACTTTGGGAGGCCGAGGCAGGCAGATTAACTGAGGTCAAGAGTTCGACACCAGACTGGCCACCATGGTGAAGACCCGTTTTTGCCAAAAAATACAAAAACCAGCCCGGCGTGGTGGCGGACGCCTGTAATCCCAGCACCTCGGGAGGCTGAGGCAGGAGAATCGTTTGAACCCGGAAGGTGGAGGTTGCAGTGAGCCGAGATTGCGCCACTGCACTCCAGTCTGGACGACAGAGCGAGACTATGTCTCGGAAAAAAAAAAAAAATTTTGTGGGCAAAGGGGAAGTTATTTGAATGTTCTTTTGGCAGTACTTCATTTGATCCCACTTGGCACAAGTCTTGAGAACAGAGGTTGGTTCAGCCTCTAGAGGCGTGTCTGAGGGTTGTGGTGGTAAGAGAGGAAAGATTTGGCAATATGAGATTTGGCAATATGAATAGCCTTGGAGTGTATCTCTCTCTCTCTCTGTGTTTTCGTCCTGTTCTTTTCTAATACAAGCGTTCTCCCGGAGCGGTGACCTTCATGATCCTTTGAAACAAAGCTTTGAATGGCTGCCCCACTGCGGGGTTTTTTGTTTTGTTTGTTACGTATTGAGAGGAAGTCTTGCTCTGTCACTCAGGCTGGAGTGCAGTGGCACTGTCTCGGGCCCACTGCAACCTTTGTCTCCTGAGTTCAAGCGATTCTCCTTCCTCAGCCTCCTGAGTAGCTGGGATTACAGGCGTGCGCCACCACACTCAGCTAATTTTTTTATACTTTTAGTAGAGACGGGGTTTCACCATGTTGGTCAGGCTGGCCTTGAACTCCTGATCTCATGACCCGCCCCCCTCGGCATCCCAAAATGCAGGGATTACAGGCCTGAGCCACCGCGCCTGGCCCTCACTTAAGTTTTAAGCACTTTTCATAAGGAGGAGCAGAACCATCCCTAAGCCCCAGGCTTTTGCTTTTCTTTCCTTGCAACTGTTTTATCTTCCCCACAATACACACCACATGCCTTTAGGTTAAGTCACTGAAAGTGGAGTTAGCAAATCTTTGCCATATTAATTTTCCAAATAGTGTTGTATCAAATTAAAATAGTACCAAGTGTTCATTCAATTGCTATTTACTGAGTACTTGCTTGCCTGCCTGTTGGCATCCTGGGGCTCCCTCTTCCTAGCTGTGTTACAGGCTATTTACCCTCTCCTGGCCTGTTACCTCCCCTGTAAAGTGAAATACAGCATCTACCTCAGTTGTGTATCTGTAATGTACTGAGAACAGGACCTGGCACACATATGAACTCTAATCATTGCTCTTTTGAACTTCACCAGGCATTGTATGAATGATGCTAACTGCATGACCACATTGTAATATATTTGTCAAACTTTGTCTAATACATTAGCATTGATATTTCATTGCTAACTTTTAAAAAGTATGAGTGAAGTTAAATACCCCTCTCCATTTTTAGTTATACTGATTTTGTGAATTATTCAGGACTTGGGTCTGCTTATGATGAGGACTTTTATTCTTTTATATGGGCTCTATATTTTGTTTTTGTCATTTCTTTGTACATACAGAAATTTTATCTATACAATCACATGTATTTTTGTGCCTTTTGAGGCTTTTCATTTCCCATTCAGACCTTTGTAATTCATTTTTTAAAGTTTCATTATTTTTAAAATATTTACTCCATCTAGAATTTACTTTGGTTTACAGCATCATGTGGATCTAATTTCTTTTCTAGATGTTAAGCTGTATCAGTATCATTTATTACATAATTCACTTCTTTTTCTGGGCTTTATGATTGATGTCTTTTTGACTGTATGGTAAATTCTTTTAGGGTCTGAGTAATCCAGAATTGTTTCATCTTAGACGGGTTGAGTTTTTAATTTTTGTTTTATATGTATGTTTTTATTATCTGGCAAAACTAGTTTCTTGTTAAAAAAAAAATATTAGTACTGTTCTCTATAACCTTTAGAAATGTTTTGTATAATTTCCCTCCAGATCATCTTGTGATCTTGATTGGAATTTTGAAATAGTGTTGAATCTATAAATCAATATGTGAGAAAACACATTTTTACATTATTTCTTCTTCCCATCAAGAGACACTCAGGCTGGGCGCAGTGGCTCAGGCCTGTAATCAGGAGTTCGAGACCAGCCTGCCCAACATAGCAAAACCCTGTCTCTACCAAAAATACAAAAAATTAGCCAGGCCTGGTGGTGCACACCTGTAGTCCCAGCTATTCGGGAGGCTAAGGCAGGAGAGTTGCTTGAACCCGGGAGACGGAGGTTGCAGTGAGCAGAGAGCACACCACTGCACTCCAGCCTGGGCAACAAGACCAAAGCTCCATTAAAAAAACACACACACACACAAAACTCATGCTAGACACTGGCAATGCTGTGTCATAAGTCTCATATACTCCTTGCTCAGACTCATGCTTTGGGCAGAAAAACCTCTTAAGTTCAATATAGTGCTAACAAATAATGTTGTGGTTCATGCTGTGGGAAATCATTCTTCCTGGAGGGCTTGTCTCAGCTAGGTATTTGCCAGAAAAGCAAAGTCAGTAAGAGGATTCCAGACAACACATGGAACATTGGCAGGGATACTGGGAGAGAGGGGACAGAAGGGTCAGGCAAGAGCCTCATAGGTCACGTGAAAAAGCTTGAGTATTACCCTCTTCACAACGGGGAGCTTTGAAGGGATTTTCAGCTAGAGAACTTTTAGAAAGATCTTGAATGTTGTATGTAGGATGAAGCGAAGCAAGCAAAAACAAGTTACTGGTCAGGATACCACTGAAGGAGTCCCTGCTAGAGATTAAAAGAACCCCAGTCACAATGGAATGGGGGCAGAGGAGGTGCGGAATAGGATAGCATGTCCTGAAGTCAGACTGGACAAGATGATTAATTTGATTGGAGTATGGATAGAAATGGAGAAGGAAGTAAAGCAGATGTGTAGGTTAAGCTCCAAGTTTGTGAACAGGGTGGTTGTTGCAGTGGTCACTGCATATGGGGAATTATTGAAGGAACGTTTGGGATAGGGGAATTAGAACAGAGTGGCATTTTGAATGTGATGTATTTGAAGAGTCTGTTGCCTAAATATAGTTCCAACAGATGTCTGAATATAATTGAGAATACCAAAGAGTAGACTTCCTGGACCCCTGGATGGAGAATTTTAGTCTTTTTGCTTCAATGATGGTTGAGGCCACAGGAGTGGTAAAGTTGTCCAAAGTGAGATTTTGTTGTTTGAACGTTCAGAGTGTTGCTCTGTCACCAAGGCTGGAGTGCAGTGGTGTGATCTCAGTTCACTGCAACCTCTGCCTCCAGGTTCAAGTAGTTCTCTGGACTCAGCCTCCCCAGTAGCTTGGGATTACAGGCACACACTACCACACCCAGCTAATTTTTTGTATTTTTAGTAGAGATGGGGTTCACCATATTGGCCAGGCTGGTCTCAAACTCCCGACCTCAAGGGATCCACCCGCCTCTGCCTTCCAAAGTGTTGGGATTATAGGGGTGAGCCACCACGCCTAGCCCCAAAGTGAGATTTTTGAGACACCATGGAGGACATTTGTGTTCTGCTGTCCATTCATTAAACATCAGAACTTACCTATTTGGCCAAGGCCTAAGGGGATGGGCAGGATGGCACAAATGTGAACTATCAACATGATAGATTAATTTATCACTACTCCTGCAAGCCCTGTTGGGAACACAAGTTGAAAATGGCACTCTTGGGTTCCTGCTTCCTGGAATTCCTACTGTCCCTGATCTCATGAGCTAACCAAGGGCCAAGGGAATCACTCTGGGCATGCCAGTTTGGGAGTTCTATCTAAGATAGAGCTTCCAAAGGCAGATATAATAGATTCCAGCATTGTCATAGTATTGGTGTCTTTCCCTCCCAGACTCAACCTTACTGGAAGATTAAACTGCCTGCCCCATGGAGGACTTTAGCCAATGAAATGTGAGTAGATGTGACATCACTTACTTATGGAGGAGAATCTTTACAAGCCATTGCATGGCTCCATCAACTCACCCTTTTCATTCTACCGCAAAGCCAGCACATTATAGCTCACTCTACCATGGACATAAATGCAAATGAGAAATCAACCCTTGTAGTAAGAGCAACGTTGAAGTTGGAGGTCATGTTAGTACAGCATTAACTAGTAACAGCTTTTACTGATCCAGCAGAGATCAATCCCCTAGCATACCTTTTACAATCCTGTCATCTTTCATTAAGAATAGTCACATATTATATCAACAGTGGTATATGTTTTAATAGTTTTCAGAATATAAGCTGCATAGCTTTTTAGAATAAAAAATAATCATATAACTTCAGGTACATGCTTTGGGACACTTGGTTAAACAACAAGCAATTTGTATCTTTGATGACCACCTCAAAAGGGTGGCAGACTTCACAGTGTAACTTGGAAATAGACAGGGAGATAGATGATTACATCATGACATACTGCCTACAAAAGAACATTCTGACAGAACATTAAGTAGATCAGAGCACACAGTTTCAAGTATTCAAGCACTGCTTTCTGGCCAAGTAAAAACTGCCTAAAAATCAGGTTTTTTTTGACTGGAAAAAATAGATGTAGCTGCTGAGTTCTTCTGGATAGTGTTTCTTTCCCAGAATGAAACTGGCTCAGTCCAGCTTGAAAGCAGTGTGAGGAATGACTCTTCCCCTTAACCATTAAGAAAAAAAAGATGAACTAAACAAATAAATTACTACAACAATAGGGACCATGGCACTGAATGAAATAAAGGAGAAATCACCTTTCCATCATTGCATAGTCTCCCGAAGCAGCACATGTGAAAGAGGGTACTGAAAAGCCACTTTGTTTTTACACAGCCCCAGGATTGTTTTTGTGGATTACTTGGACTTCTAATAATGTCCGGTTGCTTTATGAGAACACACACACACACACACACACCCCCCACACTCTTCCTACCCTCTAAAAGAAGGTAGGTAGTTCCTTTCACAGTAAGAAAACACACCCTCATACTCTCCAGAAACTGCAGCTGTCTCAGCCACTTGACAGCTTTTGGGTACACATTGTGGGCTTGGCAAGACAGAGCTTAGAGCAGGGTCAAAAGGGCAGCTAGCTCCCCTTAATCCTTTATACAAAGGACTATCAGAATCCCATGCTCCTGGCAGCATCTCCTCAAGGCACAGGTGCCCAGGTCCCCTGCAAAGGAAAACAGGCAGCTGGGCTTCAACGGTGGGGTATGACCTCCTCCCAGGCCAGGGCTTCCAAGCCCACTGCAGCAGCAGGTGCCTGAACTCCTATCTCTTCCAGTTACCAGTTCAGGCACCTGATGCTGCAGCGGCTGCTGCTTCCAGGTTTGTTATAAAAACCTTAGCCCAGACAAAGCAGGGAGCCAAAGAGCGTTCTATAGGCTGTAAGATCATGTTGTAAAATAAAAATATATATTACAATAAAATTTTTTGTAGTTGTCCAAAAGGGAGCACCTGGGTAAGGAATGTGACCTTCTGACCATGGTTAAGTCTCACTTTGGACTCTTCGTTCTGTTCTATGGGTGATCAGAGGCTGTCACCAACTCAAACCACTGTCTGAGGGCATCGCTGAGTGTCTCAGGAAGTGCGTTTACATCTCGTAGAATGATATAGTATGGGAATGGGAACTCTTCCATGTAGGATCGGATTTCAGGCATCTCTCCAGGTCCTTTAAATATCGGTACTTTAATGTCCAAGATAGAATCCTGTCAACAAAAGGCATTTTGAAATGAGGAGGCAGCGATTAAAGCAGCATCCTTAGCTATCTCTTTTGCTGACAACTTTTATGTCTCCTCCTGTGTCTTATTCCTGCATATGAACCTAGCTTTTATTACTAAGTAAAAGAGAATTTTCAGAACTCTGCTAAGAAGGAGGTAGATCTCTTTTTGAGTGCCCTTCGAGGAGGGACACTGATGAAAAAAAGGAAAAGGGATAGATAGAAAAATCTACTTTCCCTACAGTGGTGTTTCCCCATCGTCTACTTGGAATCATTCACATTAAATCTTTACTTTGCTATCAAGGCCTTAATGTGACCTGCAGACACAGTGCTTCCCTGGAACAGAACTGCACTGTTGGCATATTTCACTAAGATGATTGATGCTTCCTGCTGTGAGGAGGGCTGCTGCGACATAAGTGTAGAAACACCTGATCTCCATTTGAAAGTTGTCAGTACCCATTATCAAGGCTGTAATACCTGCACTGACTTTGCATAGAAGGAAAAGATGACCCAAGAGGATGGTCATTCTGAAATCTTGGCTCTCCCACTCATTACCTAACCTCTATGTATTTCACTTCTTCAGTGTGAAGTGGGAATCATGATCCCTACACCTTACTGGTTTATTGCAAAGATTAATTGAGTGCCTACAATGGTACTATGAATGCTGGGAGTTCTCAGTATGTCTGAGTGATCCAGACCTTAATGCAGATTGAACAGGTTGAAGGGAATCCCCACTTTATCTCCCGAAGAGGTGGCTTTTAGTAGTCACTCACCCGTGAACTGGGATTGTCCAATACAACAAAGATGACAAAGATGTTTGCATTCCGGGCAGCCTGAACTGCTGCCAGGACTCTTTCTTTGCCCTCAAGGAAAAGGCCTCGCCCATCAGAGACTACCAGGAGGAGTTGTGCAGTTTCTGTAGACCATATAAGAGGAAACAAGGGAATAAAATGAACATCCATTTTTAATAACTCAAACTACCCAAAGTAGGACATATTTGTGTAGGCTTTCTCTGTACTATTAAAGCTAAACAGACCTCTAAAGCTGATGCATTCTGGGCACAAACATAACCTCTGATGAGATCTATCCCTTAGGATGCTTGAGTCAGAGACAAGGCATAATAAGGGATACTAAGTAAGCTTCTGTCAGTACAGCAGTTTCTCTCAATAGTGCTTCAGAAAATGTTAAGTTCAGCTCAACGTCAATTATAGAGCAACATACTGTAGATGAGAATTAAAACACTTGTTTATGGCTATTAATTTTAAAAATGATAGTACCAAGTAGGTCATTAGAAGAAAGTACCCAAATCAGAAACCTGGAACTATGTCTACCAAATTTCTGTCATCACATATAATAATCACCTTCAGATTTCTGTTAACTCCTTGTACCTAATTTCTGTATTTTTTTCCCCTTGAAATTTGACTTGTTTAAACAACAACAAATAGAAAGGAACCACTCAACAGTGAATAAGATGTTTTAAAATTTTTGCTACATAGTGTTTCCAGTTACAGATTATATAGTTCTTGAGTTGAGGGTGGGCTTCTGTAGCAGTTGTTGAGAGGTATGAATGACTTGCTTCCATCAAAAACTGAAGCTTCTGCATGATACACTGAGGACACAGAGATTTTTGGAAAGGACTAAAGAATGGGCATGTTTCGATCCCCCAAAGTAAATGTGGTTGGATTAGCTGGTTTTTAAATTATGTCTTTACTTTCCTCTGTTATTAAAATATTAGAGAATAAAGTACTCGCAGGGGACTGGTTTCAGGACACCTACCCCCCACCCCTAGTATACCAGCATACACACATATTCAAGCCCAGAGATGGCCCTGGAGAACCCGCATACATGAAAAGTTGGTCCTCCATATACTCGGGTTTCGCATCCCTCAAATACTGAATTTTCAATCCACTTTTGGTTGGAAAAACTCCATGTGTAAGTAGATCTGAGCAGTAGAGATAAACCTGTGGTATTCAAGGGTCAACTGTAGTCTTTATATTTAATTCCACACATCTTGCTCCTTTCTCTCACAACTCTAAACTCTTATCAAATGTGTATATAGATAAGTGCATATAGTTAGTGTCTAGATCTCCCATTGATTATAAGCCTCATGAGTACAGCTTCAACAAAAATTTCTGAATGAATGAATAAATTCCATCAGCTCCATTGACTTACATCTTTTCCTGTGGAGCATACCTGTTAAAACATGGTGACAGGGGCAGTGAGCTGAAGCAAGCAGCTTGGAAATACAGAGTATAAAAAAGCATTTTGTTAATGAAGAGGAAGGCATGCAGCTCACCTGGACAAATGTTCTGTGAGAGCTGCCGAGCAGCTGCAAACACGGTGGCGACAGACTCTAGAAACTAAACCAGAACCAGAAATAGATAATTAGAAAACTATTTAAATACTCTCTTCCCGTTATCAAAGAGACTGATGGTATTTCTGACACTGCAGTGATTATCAGATAACCACCTCCGGCTTATAGACCATCAACTAATTGTCCCTTCTGGCCACATGTAGTTTAAAAAGGAGGATCCTTGGATACATACATTCTGAGTTTGTTTTTTTTTTTAAATTATGTTTTGAGACAGGATCTCATTCTGTCATCCAGGCTGCAGTGTAGTAGCACGATCTCACCTCACTGTGGCCTCAATTCCTGGGCTCTGCCTCAGCCTACAGCCAAGTAAGTACCTAGGACTATAGGTATGTGCCATCACATGTGGATAATATTTTGTCTTTTGTAGAGATGAGCTCTCACTATGTTGACCAGGCTGGTTTTGAACCCCTGGCCTCAAGCTGGGATTACAAGTGTGAGCCATCATGCCTAGATGATACATGCATTCTCAAGCACAGGTAAGACGTATTTTGTTAACATATAACCCACTTAGAGTTCTAGAAGACACCCCAAAGGAAAAGAAGTGCTTCCCTAGGACATAAGAAGTCGACAATCCCCTCAAATAAACCAAACAGCTATCTTCTTTCAATAACAGAAAAGAAATGAGCAAAAGAGAAGGCAAGAAAATACAAAATGTCCAGGGCAGCCTAGAGAAAGCAGACTAAATCAGAGCAGGACCCAGGAGATATACAATCCCATGCTCTGTTTTTGAACTTGTGCTATCCTCAAAAAGTCACTGACTTTATATCATTTCTTCTCTAGGTTTTTTTTTTTTTTTTCCCACTCTTGTTACCCAGGCTGGAGTGCAATGGCGCAATCTCGGCTCACAGCAACCTCTGCGTCCTGGGTTCAGGCAATTCTCCTGCCTCAGCCTCCTGAGTAGCTAGGATTACAGGCATGCGCCACCATGCCCAGCTGATTTTTTTGTATTTTTAGTAGAGACAGGGTTTCACCATGTTGACCAGGATGGTCTCGATCTCTTGACCTCGTGATCCACCGCGCCCAGCCTCTTCTCTAGGTTTAATGAGGGAGAAAAATAGGTCTTGGACCACCTGATAAGGGTATGGGAGATGGGGTTGGTTTTGCAGAATGTTCTGAACTACTCAGCAAAAAGTGTAGGGAGCTAGAAAATAATGATGTAAAGTCAAGTGATCTTTGAGGAACTGAGAAAAAGTCACATCTTGTTTTATAATGGATGCCAAGGAAGCTTCTATTCCAGTGGGACACAGGCTGATGTTTAGGACTATCCCTGTCCTAAGTCTGTATTAGATGGGTTGGGGGATGGTTTCTCAGCCTAGCATGATGGTAATCCCAACACTTTGGGAGGACAAGAAGGGAGGAACACTTGAGCCCAGGAATTTGAGACCAGTCTGGGCAACAAAGTGAGACCCTGTTCCTACAAAAAATAAAATTAGCCAGACATGGTGGCACAGGCCTGTAGTCCTAGCTACTAGGGAAGGTGAGGCGAGAGGACTGCTTGAGCCCAGGAGTTTGAGGCTACAGTGAGTTACGATGGTGCTATTGCACTCTAGCCTGGGTGACAGAATGAGATGCTGTCTAAAAAAAAAAAAAAGTTCTCCCTCCTATCTACACCAGTTTAAAAATAACCACGCAGAAGACATTTTATTTCATCCTCATACCTGAGCAATCTTGGTTTTCTTTTGTTGGAATTTGCAGAGACGTAGAATCTGGGACCCAGAGTAATCACTGAACTGCTCATGAAATGGGTGTAACAGCTTTACAGATTCTCCGAAACTTGGGGGCGGAAAACCAAATACAACAGGAGTTATTTGTTTGCTGTGTGATCAAAATAACCAAATAGGTTGTGAAAAGTTTTCACAATGGAACTAAAGGCAACCTTACCTACACACTGCAATCTGACCCACTTCCAGGAGGGTTAGAGCATTTCCAATCACAGCCAAAGATTCAAATGCAAGCTGTGAATTAGAAAGTTAATGATTTCAGGAATCAGAATATCCTCTAAACCAGAGCCTCTCAACTTTTTTTTTTTGCATCAAGATTCCCACAGAAAGCATTGTTTTTTTTTGTTCGGCAAGTAGAGGAATAACATCAGTAAGGTTATTATAGTCACAACCAACCCTGAGGCTTTGATGGCCTTATGCTCTGCCTGGTACCATAAATGTTGAAACCTAGAATCCATTACACTGATAGGAATGGTCTGCTGTAGACATTGAATAAAAAGTGACCTTGACGGCCAGGCTTGGTACCTCACACCTATAATCCCAGCACTTTAGGAGGCTAAGGAGGGAAGATCACTTGAGTCCAGGAGTTCAAGAGCAGCCCAGGTAACACAGCAAGACCCCCATCTGTGGTACCAGTTACTTGGGAGGCTGAGGTAGGAGGATCACCTGATCCCCAGAAAGTTGAGGCTACAGTGAGCTACCACTCCAGCCTGGGCAACAGAGTGAAACCCTGTCTTCAAAAAAAAAAAAAAAAATTTAGCCAGTCATGGTGACATACACCTTTGGTCCCAAATACTCAGGAGGCTTAAGTGGGAAGACTATACTGCTTAAACCCAGAAGGCTGAGGCCACCATGAGCCATGATTATGCCACTGCACTCTAACCTAAGCAGCAGAGCAAGACCCTGTCTTTAAAAAAAAAAAAAAAAAATGCTGGGCACAGTGGCTCACGCCTGTAATCCCAGCACTTTTGGGAGGCTGAGGCAGGCGGATCACCTGAGGTTGGGAGTTCGAGACCAGGTTAACCAACATGGAGAAACCCCATCTCTAGTAAATACAAAATTAGCCGGGCATGGTAACAGATGCCTGTAATCCCAGCTACTCAGGAGGCCGAGACAGGAAAATCACTTGAACCCAGGAAGCGGAGGTTGCAGTGAGCAGAGATCATGCCATTGTTCTCCAGCCCCTGGGCAAAAAGAGTGAAACTCTGTCTCAAAATAAAATAAAATAAAAAATAAATAAACAAAAAAAAGGAGGGGGGGAACCCTTGAGAAATATGATCCATGAATTTAATTTTTCTTTCTTTTTTTTTTTGAACCTACATAAAGAGTAACCTCTTGTACGTAACAAATTTTTTTTTTTTTTTTTTTTTTTTTTTTTTTTTTTTTGAGACGAAGTTTCGCTCTTGTTACCCAGGCTGGAGTGCAATGGCGCAATCTCGGCTCACCGCAACCTCCGCCTCCTGGGTTCAGGCAATTCTCCTGCCTCAGCCTCCTGAGTAGCTGGGATTACAGGCACGCGCCACCATGCCCAGCTAATTTTTTGTATTTTTAGTAGAGACGGGGTTTCACCATGTTGACCAGGATGGTCTCGATCTCTTGACCTCGTGATCCACCCGCCTCGGCCTCCCAAAGTGCTGGGATTACAGGCGTGAGCCACCGCGCCCGGCTGTACGTAACAAATTTTAAAAACCAATTTAAAATCCATTCATATATATGCAGCCAAATCAAACTGTACAGCTATATCAGAAAATTTCATTACCATCTGCAAAATGACAAAAGAAGTGGCAAACTGAGTGTGTTCTCCATATATTATTTCATTTACTCTTCATAACAATTGTGCGAGTATGAGGTTATAATTACTGTTCTGTGTGTGCATGTAAATATATATATATATATGTACATAAGTTACCCAAAGTCACATGTTAATAAATGGAACTGGGATAGGAACCCAGGTTCAGAGGCTACATTAACTTTTTCCAGCAGAACATACAAATTTTAGGTTGCTTGTTAGCCCATGCTGTATAACAGCATTACTGCCAAAAACAAACTGTCTTTGGCATCTGTAATGGAGGTGTAAGTAATTCTGTTCAGGCTCCTAAACTTAATTTTAGCATTGACAGAACAATAACTCTGGATAATTTAGGACATAAAATAAATGTATCCTAGATATATACTTAAAAAAAGTTTTCCGAAATTACCGCATAGTCTTAAATAGTTTAATAGTACATTGTTGTATTTTGTGCAAAATAAATACTATCAGAATTACTTACTCTGCAACTAGACAGTAAGAAGAGCAGGGTCAAGAAACAAAACAATTTAAAATACCTACAACAGTAAGAAACCAACAAATCTGAGACATCCTAAAATTGCCCTTTTGAACTCTTTAAATCTTAGGTCTTTGATATCAAAGATGGTTATCACATTCTCAAAACAGGCCTAACAAGTATTTCAAAATTTCTTAGCCATATCAAATTGAAAGCATTCTGGTGGCCCATGGAACATGGTTTGGTGTTAATTTCCTATCAAACCACCACTACATTTCTCTTCCTTACCTGCTTAGTATGGTTGTCTACCATACTAGAAGAGTCATCAATAGCCAAACAAATCTGATACTGGCGTTTACTGGGCTTGGTCCTTCGAAGCCAAATCTTGTCTTTCCGAAATTGACTAGCAACGTATGGAATGACTTTCCGCATGTTCAGTCGTTTCCCAGTTCGATAGTCTCCTCTATTTATTGATTCAAATGGGCAAAAATTAGTTAACAACATTTAATTCCTGAGAATTTTCATTAGAGACAAAAATCACATTAATAATATCTTAAAATCAATAATACCAAGTAACTAGGAGCCTGGCACAATGAAGTGTTACTGTTAATTGAGGACTGAGTACCAGGATCTTCTTGACATCCAGCCAGAAAAACTGGACATGTATGTGGCAATAATAATTAGTTCCTTTCAAATATGTTTTTTAAAAATTAGGACAAAAATCTACTGAATATGAAATCTTGGATTCTCTCTTTCCTATTCTAAAACTAAGATTTTGGGTACATCTTTGAAAAGATTTAGGTAACTCCTAAACAAGTGAGTAACTCAACATGAACAAGGTGATCAATGCAGACACCCAGAAACTTTTGTGCAGAGATAATAACAGGAAAACAGGGTAAGGAATACTGGTGCCTGTACAGCAGAAGAGACAACTGAGAAGCTGGTACCATAAATGGTTAGGTGCTGAGTTAAACAGAATCGATGAAGCTGCCATCTTCCCAGGGCACTGTGAGGCCTTCTAGAGGGGAACTTACTTCAGCTTGGCTGCCTGGGTGGGTTCTAATATGAGACGAAGCTCCTCACATAATCGTTGTGAAAGAGGTGCTGTTAACATCAGGTAACTCTGCCACATCTCAGCTGCAACCTTCTCCTGTGACAATGAAATATAAGTTACCCTCAGGGTGTCAGAGCCAACCAAGTCTTCTAGCAAGATGATGGTAGAAAATGACCTACATGAACTGTCTCAACAGAAGCACTTTAAATCTTCTCCCAGCAAGCTACCATGCAATTTACTTGATTAAAAATGTCTCTCCTTCTGGCTGGGGGTGGTGGTTCATGCCTGTAATCCTAGCACTTTGGGAGGCTGAGGTGGGCAGGAGTTCAAGATCAGCCCGGCCAGTGTGGTGAAACCCCATCTCTACTAAAAATACAAAAAATTAGCTAGGCATGGTGGCGTGTGCCTGCAATCCCAGCTACTCAGGAAGCTGAGCCAGGAGAATCTCTTGAACCTAAGGTGACCGAGGTTGCAGTGGGCCAAGATCGCACCACAGCACTCCAGCCTGGGTGACAGAGTGGGACTCCATCTCAAAAACAATAAAGAAGAAAACTCTCTCCTTCAACCAAACCCATAACCTGCACTTCTACGTGAGAAAGAATGAAACAAGGCAGTTAATTATCAGAATTCATGACCAAATCAATGCCTTACCCACATCCCCTACAAAGAGTAAAACATGTACCCTTCATACGGGGAGGGAGATGTGAATGGGTAATTTTGGCACCAGCAGATCCAGCTACTTACTCGTGGATTCTCAGAGTCAGGTTTCAAAAGTAAAAGTGGGCCAGGCTCAATGGCTCATGCCCATAATCTCATCACTTTGGGAGGCCAAGGCGGGCGGATCACCTGAAGTCAGGATTTTGAGACCAACCTGGCCAACATCGTGAAACCCCGTTTCTACTAAAATATAAAAAATTAATTGGGCATGGTGGCGTGTGCCTGTAATCCCAGCTACCCGGGAGGCTGAGGTTGCAGTGAGTTGAAATCGCACCACAGCACTCCAGCCTGGGCAACAGAGCAAGATTACATCTCAAAAAAAAAAAAAAAAAAAGTAAAAAGTGCTAAGTGCAAATCCCTCCGGCAACACACTCAACACAAAGCCCCATGATTTTCTGCCAACTAGAGCACTCAAGTACATATATGTGGTGGGAGTGATGATGACAAGATATAAAAGTAAATGTGTACATACACAGTAAATTTAGGATGCAGTCATTAAAAATAAAACTGCTGGTTAATGCATGCCACCACGTTAAGTCAGCCAGCAACAATCTAGCTGGCCTCTTCTCATGATGGCACAGCACAGACTCTTGCCCAGTTTTTCAACCACTGTCACAACTATTCCACCCATTACAGAGCCAGCAACAGAAATTACGGGAATTAAGCACACCAATTTCTCTCTATTTTAATTAAGCTACAGATCTAGCAGCAAAGCAGGCAGAAACTAATGGACAGACATAGGCTTTAGGACTGTAATTATAGTCTACATATGCCTGGTCCTTTTTACTAAGGTAATAGCTTACCTATTAATTTTGCTAGATGTCAGACAAAAAAAAAGTCAAGATATTTTACGAAAAAACAGTGACTTACTTCTTCTGGGTTTCCAGATTCATGTGGCTGCCACATTTCCAGCTGTCTCTCCAGCTCCTGTCTTAGCTCATTGACATCTTTTAAAAAGGGCTAAGAAGAAAAAGCCATAGATAAGAGGTGGCCCATGTTGGAATCACCAACTTACTTTAACTGGCTGCCTTGCACCCTACAGTTTGAACTCAATCTACACAGTCAAATCCTCCTGAGATTCAAAACTTAATTCAGCAAATACAGTGGCACAATGAGAAGAAGCCAGACAAGCAGTCTGCTTCCCCTCTTAGAGAGACAATATGGATAAAGAAAAGTTTTAACATTTATAAAGCCACTCTATCGAAACAAAAACAAAAACAAAACACCCTTAAGTCATCAATAATGAAAATGTTATATGATTAATAACAGTTCTTCATAAATACAGGCATTAAGCCAAAGATTTTTTATTTAACCATCACAAACTTCATTGTCCTGAAGGTTCCTTACACAAGGATGGTTAGAAAAGTGGGATGTGAGTCCCAGAGGCCAGGGACCAGACCCACCATCACAGACTGCTGGAACAGTATCATGTGTTTAAAGAACACCTATCATACCGATAGTATTCCTAAAACTTTTCAATAAGAACATGAACCCCCCGCCCAACAACCAGATGTTCCATAAAGTTCTAAAGACAAAGATTTAAAAGCAATTTTAAAAAGTATATTTTGTTAATTTATTAACCCAATACTAATGCAGTAATTTGTGAGTTTTATTTAGTACCTGGAAGATTGTGTCCATGAGGAATTGATGAGCTGTATGAATGGTTGACTCTTGGCTTCCTTCTGGTTTCTCATTTTCTGTCTCCTTACGGGATTCGTCTGTTCTGGGGTCTTGGTTTTCCTCTGTTTTAACAGTTTGGATCTCCACCTCCATCTCATCAAAGCCTATTTTCATTTAAGGACATAATTTTACTTATCATAATATTAGCCTGTTGACTGACCAAGCCTTTGCTGTTGCCCATTAATCCTAACAATTAATCAAACTTCATTCACTTTCCAACACACTTCCACATGTTGATTTCACATGTTCTTTCTCTCTGAGGCAGTCACTGCCAACCCTTACTCTCTAACCTCCCCTCCTGATGTTGAAGGCAGATGTTCTAGGAAAGGAAATAATAGAAATTTTGGGTTGTCTTAAGAAGCCTTTTAAAACTGTATGATTCGTGAAACTATATACACGTATAACTTTGATAGAAATAAGAACTAAAATAAAGCCACGATTCCATTTTACAGATGAGGAAACTGAGGCAAAGAACAGTGAATAATTTGCTTCAACCTGTGAGGTGAGAGGCAAAGCCTGGATTGTCACATATGGCAGTCAACTGTTCTAACACTCTTGAGAGGACAGGAATGAAGCAGAAGAAAAAGCCTTTGAATTTGGCAAGTTCTTTTGAATTTAGATTTATTGCACTGCTGATAAAATTATTTTTTGACAAGTAATAGAACTTGGTTGGCTATGCAATGGAAACTCCTCATTCTATTTCCTTTAATGTTTTACTGCATTTTATGCTAATACTATGGTACTTTAATATAACCAAAAACACCATTTATCTAATAATACACCTTTTCATCATAGCTGTAGTCAGTATACTATTCTGGTTTCTTCTACATATTTTTTAAGAACTGATGAGATTTTGCCAGAAATTCAAGTTCCAGGGGACTCCTTGAAGGATGGTATTGTGCAACATCCACCCCGTCCATATTTTTGTTTTTTGCTCCCAAACAAAATATAGTGTAGGCCGGGCACAGTGGCTCACGCCTGTAATCCCAGTACCTGTACTCTGGGAGGCCGAGGCGGGTGGATCACCTGAGGTCGGGAGTTCAAGACCATCCTGACCAACATGGTGAAACCCTGTCTTATTTTAAATATATATATATATATATATATATATATATATATATATAGTGTAATTATAGGCAAATGATTCATCTAAGCCATGGATTAGGAGATGGAACTGAACACCAGACTAGACTATAGTGAGAGGGAACTGACTTTAAATCAGAGATCTTGGGAAGGATTTGTTCACTAGCAGGACTCACTGAAGGGTGCTGTGCTGCCTGATTTGACTTCCTCTGGCTTCAGCTGCTCCACGTCTGCTGCTTTGAGCTCCTCCTGCTCCTCTGTGTCCATGAGGGTGTCCTCTATCTCCTCCTCTTCCTGATCTTTGCCAGAGTCTTTTACAGATTGTTGCTGTTCTTTGCTGGCCACATCTGTCAACAAAGCATGCACCCACACATAAAAATCCTAGCTCTTTGCAGAACAAAGTAATGATAAGTGGGTATGGTTTCTGTCATTCTAGCTTCCAAGATGCTACTGATGCATCTTGTGCCACTGACCAGCTATGTGGCTTGGAGACTTGTCTGTGCCCAAGAGTTCCTACTGACCTATTGACCTAACAAACTGCCTGTTCCCTACCTCCTACAGAAATTATGAGGGTATAGTGTAACTATACATGTGACCACAAAAATAGGGTGTTTAAATGGACTATAGGGTGACTCTAACAATAATTATATATATTTTCAAATGACTAGAAGAGCAGATTTGAATGTTTCCAACACAAAGAAATGATAAACGATAAATATTTGAGGTGCTAATTATCTTGACTTGATCATTAAACACCGTATACATGTATCAGAACATCACACTGTACCCCATAAATAGGTATTATTATTATGGGTCAATTAAAAATAATAAAAAGAAGCAGAAAACAAGGCACAGAAAGACGAACGTGAGAATAGGAATCTCAGCACTGTGATCTTGGGTGAGTTCTTAAACCACTTGACCTCAGTGTACTTACCTATAAAACAGAGATGCTCTAGCTCATAGGCTTATTTGAGTGTAATAATGCAGCAAAGGCTCAGAAAATTTTTCTTTTTAAGTGGGATCCAGGAGAGAAAAACATAATCCAATGTAGAACAGTCATTTTTGTACCCTTCTCAAAGGTAGATTATTCTCAACATGAGTTTACACATTAGGAATCAAACAATGAAGTCACCAAGAGAACTAGAAGGGGAGATGACCAATGACCTCATGATGAGACATTTTTCCTCCCCTTTGGACTTATGGAGAAAACATATTTCAAGTTCATAGCTCCTCAGTGCAGGGACCGATCCAGAGGTGACTAAGAAGAAAGAAATGTCCAGTACTAAGAAACCCTGATATCAGCATTTGGATGTGGTCAAGTGTTATTTTTAACTATTATATTTAAAGATATTTAAAGGGTTTATACTAAACTGAGCAATCTTAACCATCTTCACTTGGTTACAGATACCTTTGTACCAAAACCAAACTGTATTTCTCCACATTTCTTATCTTTACAAAGCCATTTCCTCTCTCCCCTGATATGAATGGGTACTATCAGCTGCCAGGCATGCAGTCATAACAGCACAAGCTCGCACAAAGAGCTCAGTGGTCAAAGGCAGCAGCCTTTCCGGCATCATACCATAGGTCTGCACATCATATGCGTCGCTGCCTTGTTTAATGTGCTCAAATGCATCTGCATCCTCCACCTGGGCCTGGGCCTGCTGAGCTGGCCCCTGCTCAGCATGGCTGTCCGTATCCACAGTTCTTAGTCTCTTGTGCACACGCTCATTGTGATCACCCATGGAACGTTCATTGTTGGCCTGCCCAGGTTTCCTCTTAAAACTCTGAGAGAAATAAAAAGAAATTCATCAGAGCCTTGCCTGTCATGACAAAAGGACACAAAATAAGCATAATATTCATCTGTAGGGAACAGGGGAAGTAAATTAGGTGTAGCCATACAAGAATGGAATTTAGTATGGCTATTAAAAAGAACAGGGCCTCTATATACTTATATGGAACAATCTCTATGATATATTTTTATATCTAAAATGAAGGCAAAGAAACACACTTTCACACATCCATATATCATATATGCAGAAGATATCTCCAAAAGAAGAAAGAACTGATAATATATTTGCTCTGGGGAAGGTCCGTTGGAGACAGGAATAGGATGTAAGCTTTTTAGGGGATTGGTTTTTTACATTAATTTTGCATCATTTGCATAAATTATACCCTATTTTAAAAACTTACTCTTAAAAAACAAGAGCCTACGGACAATGAAAAGGGTGAGACGGGCTGGCGCTGGGCAGCAGCACACGGCACTTGGCTCTTAAGACTTCATGGCAGGAATCAGGGATTGAGGAGAGACACATGCAGGGAAGAAGCCCAGTGACGGGATCCTGCCAGATAAACCCCATGGTCCTGGTCTGCTCACCAAGGCTACTATCTGGTGGGACAGCAATAGCCAGGAGTATGGCTTAAAAAAAAAAAAAAATCGCTACATTTGGAGTATCTTTTTCAACATGCAGCCTTCACCTAAGTTTAGCTGAGGAGTGATAGAAACCTGTGTGTTTTTCCTGGTGTGCTTCTGGGAGGCCAGCCGGGCAATGAAATTCGATTCATGGCCTTCTGCCTGATTTGCATCTGCAGATCCACTTCCGTGTTCCTAGGAAATCCCAAGCCACAAAAGAATGAGTTAGAAGAAGCTATTACAAGTCCCTGGTTACTATGCTGCATTGAGTACAACTTCTCTCACTGATATTCTTTATCCTCAATCATATAATCACTCCTGCCTGTCTGCCTGCTCTGGAACTCACCATAACTAAGGCCTGGCCTACAGGCAGAAATAGGAGTGTCCAGGTACACCTTAGGTTATCCTCTCAGGGGCCTTTGTAAGACTGCTTAGCTCTTTGCAGGAGTATTGTATCTAACTCCAAAGGCAGGACAGACGTCAACTAGAAACCAGGCTTCATCATCAGCCAGCTGTGTACACCTGAGGTTGTCATTTCACTTTACTGAGGCTTATTTTTCTCAAATACACAATGGAGAAAAACAGTACAATATCTCATGGCAACACAGTGAGGACCTGAAGTAATGAAAATGTTTAGGAACTAATGGGTGCTCAATGAATAACTGTGGTGGAGGTGTAGTCATGGTGTATAAGCAATATAAATGGTTCTTATTGTCATTAAGAACTAGGACTCAAAGAGACTGAAGTTGTCCAGGATCACCACTGTAACCAGCAGGTCCTCAGTTGACATTCCAGGTTCTTTCCATAGCACCCAGCAACCTGAATTGTGGCCATATCAGAACACATCATCACCAGATCAAGGAGTGAAAAAGTGCTTTGCTTTTTAAATTAAACGTTTAGAAACCTGATGATGAGCAAGGAAAAGAAAAACACCATTGAAGGCATACATTGTCTGAAGTCTAAATTCCATGTTTCCTTCCTGGAGAGCTTTCTGCAAAAACATGAATCTGATTCTTCAATCTAGAACTACCAGTCTAACAACTTTTTCTTATCATGCACACCACTTAAATATAGCCGATATTCTGGGGTTTGTCCTGGAGCGCATATAAAAATAAGTATCAGTCATGCACCACCTGACAACATTTCAGTCAAGGAAAGACTGCATGTGCACTGGTGGTCCCATAAGATTATAATACCACATTTTACTGTATCTTTTCCATGTTTAGATTCACAAATATTTACATTGTGTTACAACTGCCTGCAGTATTCAGTACAGTAACACACTGTGCAGGTTTGCAGCCTAGGGGCAATAGGCTGTACCATCGAGGTTTGTGTAAGCACACTCCGAGGTGTTCACACAATGACAAAATTGCCGAAATGAGGCATTTTTCAGAATGTATCCCTGTCTTTATAAAAATAATTGTTCAGTCACACACTGCTTAAAGAATGAGATGTGGTCTGTTAGATGTCAACAACAAAACAACCAACAAAATAACCAAACATAAACCAACTACTGCTACACAGAATGTGATGTCAGACAGGGAGAGACCCTACTAAGATGCAGCTGGTGGCTGCAGTGAAACCATCCATCACCTCTTTTCCCTGTTCCTTCTCAGGTGCGGCCCCAGCCAGCTCCATGGCCTGTGTGCTCTGCATGTTCTCCACACCAGTCTGCCCGCAGGAGGCATGCTCCTTCCTCTCCAAAGCCTCTGGCACCTGCTCCTCTATGTCAGAGTTCTCCTGTTCTTCCTCCTGCTTCTGCAGAGAAATCATACACAGCATTAAATGCTCTGGGGGGAAAGCATAAGGTGGGAGACCCTGCAACAAGTGGGCTTCCCCATTCCTCACTAAAGTTCTTAAAATAGAAACTTAGAACTCCTCGGCAGTGCCATAGGTTGATGGAGGAGTATCCTAAAAGAGATTTTAATGGGAATAAGGTGACTTCTCCTCTTTTTCATTATTTTTAGCATAAGAAAAGACAGACATCCCACGATACCTGGGGCTGGAAACCTTGGTCAGCAGGGCCATTCTCTCCACCTTCCTCGTCGACTTCCCTGTCTTTTTCCTCCAGAGACTGCTGCTGCTCCTCAGAGTGTTCTTCAGCATGCTGAGCAGCATCTCCATCTTGGTCATCAGCTCCTGTGTCCATTTCCTCCTCCTCTTCTGCCTTGTCATCTTCACTGGGGACTTCCTCAGGCTCATGTGGACTCTGACTTTCATTCTGGTCAGTCTTGTTCTCTCCTCTTTCCTCAGCTTCCTGACCTGCTTCTTCTGGGTTTTCTTTTATCTCCAAAGGATTCTCTTCTGTATAGATACAACAAAAAGGAAGAACACACAATTTTTTTTTTTTGGAGACGGAGTTTTGCTCTTGTTACCCAGGCTGGAGTGCAATGGTGCGATCTCGGCTCACCGCAACCTCCACCTCCTGGGTTCAGGCAATTCTCCTGCCTCAGCCTCCT